CCGCCCCCTGAAAGAGACCCCCCTCATTAGAGACCCCAACAGACCCCAAATCCCCCCCTCAGGGCCCCCCTGCACCCCAAAATCCCTCCTGACCCCCCCGCCAGGGAGCTCAGGGGGGTGAGGGTCTCCCAGAGGAACCTGGGGGGACCCTCAGGGGTCCAAAGGTGTCCCCCAAGTGTCCCCAAGGTATCCACGGATGTCCCCAGGTGTCCAGGAGTGTCCCCAAGGTGTCCCCAAAGAACCTAAGAGTGTCCCCAGGTGTCCCCCAGGTTTCCCAGGGGTGTCCCCAGGTGTCCCCCAGGTTTCCCAGGGGTGTCCCCAAGTGTCCCCAAGGTTTCCAGGTGTGTCCCCGGGTGTCTGCAGAGTATCCAGGGGTGCCCCCAGGTGTCCCCTAGCTGTCCAGGGGTGTCCCCAGGTATCCAAAGGTGTCTGCAGGTGTCCCTAGGGCAGCCAGGTGTGTCCCCAGGTGTCCCCCCACGTGTCCAGGGGTGCCCCCAGGTGTCCCCCAGGTATCCAGCGCTGTCCCCAGCTGTCCCCCACATTTCCCAGGGGTGTCCCCACGTTTCCCAGGGGTGTCCTCAGGTGTCCCCCAGGTATCCAGCGCTGTCCCCAGCTGTCCCCCACATTTCCCAGGGGTGTCCCCAGGTACGTGGGTGTGTCCCCAGGTGTGCCTCACCTGCGGGGTCCCCTGTCCCCATCGCCGTGGGGGTCGTCACCGTCCCCCTGCATGTCGGGCACGGCGGCCACCAGGTCCTTGAGGAAGTCGAACTGCTGCTCCAGCTCGATGCACTGCTTCCTGTGGGCGGGGCCTCAGACCACGCCCACCCCCAACCGGCCACTCCCACAGCCTGCCCGGCCACGCCCAACACACCTGGGACAGGCCACACCCACCTGGCCACGCCCAACACACCTGGGGCAGGCCACACCCACCCAGCCACGCCCAACACACCTGGGGCAGGCCACACCCACCTGGCCCCACCCAACATATATGGGACAGGCCACACCCACCCGAACACGCCCAACACACCTGGGGCAGGCCACACCCACCTGGCCACACCCAACATATCTGGGACAGGCCACACCCCCCTGGCCACACCCAACATATCGGGAACAGGCCACACCCACCCAGCCACGCCCAACACACCTGGGGCAGGCCACACCCACCTGGCCACACCCAACAGACCTGGGACAGGCCACACCCACCTGGCCACACCCAACACACCTGGGGCAGCCACACCCAGCCCCAAAAGGTGCCTCAGGTGTGTCAGGGACCTTTCCCCACCTCCCAGAGGTGGCCCAGGTGTGCCAAACAAGTGGGGACAGGTGAGCACAGGTGAGGGACACCTGAGCACAGGTGAGGCACTCACAGGTGTGACGTCGTCATGGTCTTGGCGTTGCGGGACTGGGTCACGTGACACGCCTTGCGCAGCAGCGACTCCAGGAACAGCTCCAGGGCCCGCGCTGGCACGCTAAGGACAGCCAGGTGTGCACGGACAGCCAGGTGTGCCGGGACACCCCCAGGTGTGCTGGGGACACCCCCACGGACACAGGTGACACCCCCAGGGACACAGGTGACACCTCAGGGACACAGCTGACAGCCCCAGGTATGCAGGTGACACCCCAGGGACACAGGTGACACCTAAGGGACACAGGTGACACCCCCAGGGACACAGGTGACACCCCAGGGACACAGGTGACACCCCCAGGTGTGCAGGGGACACCCCCAGGGACACAGGTGACACC